AATGGGCAAGGGTTCTGCTAACTCTATCAACACCATGAACCGTGAGTGTATTTGTGAGAAACAAGACCCTTCAACCAGAGAATTTCAAGACGGGCCTGCATGCGAATCTGGACTCAGCAGATCATAGTCTGCTAGAACAGGAAATGTTTGTTCTACATGGTGGGTTTCCGGATGTCCTGCTTTAAGAAGCTGAAGCTCCAAAGCTAATGCATTGACTCCGCCCACAGGAGGAGCCAGGGTTTTGGAGACGAATGGGCCTGGCCACTGGCAAGGGCCTGGACTGCAAGGGCAAGGGCAAAGGCGCGCTTGACCCGATGATTTCAGTCGTGTGCAAGTCTCGAGTGTCCAGCTTGGATTCGCGACTGCTTGGAATCTGAGTTTGCCCATAGGGTTGACATGCCGAAGGCACTGGACATCATGAGTTTTACATAAGCATGGTCCCGAGCAAGGATATTCAGTGATAATGCGCCCGTAAGTCAAGGAAGGCTTCCCCAAAAGGAGCCACAGAGGACTTTGATGATGGGACTTGTGCTGACGAGCATCTGCAGGTGTTGCCTTCCCTCAGCTGAAAGATGGGCTGCCTGTGGGAGGTAAGGGTGTGCCTCGCCCCGCTATGGTGGGCTACCGGTAGGGTAGCCAAGGAAGTGGCCTTTTAAAACTCAGAGCTAGTAGAGAGCCACAAGCCAGCTAGCTCGCAGCGCTTGGGCCAGTGTTGTCAAGCTGTCCAACCCGGGAATTTCATATTCTTCAGAGGTTGGAAGTATGGGAGTTTGGCCTTTCTAGAGGGGTTCCTAGGGCCCTGAAGTTCTTGGTCTTGGACAGCATGTCCAAGTGTCTAGCACCTTGGCATTGCAAGCCCAAAGCGTTGAAAAGCATGCTGCTGCGTTTATCCTGTACAGCCGTGGCAGGAGCAAAAAAGGGCTTCGAGTCAAGATTGAGATGCCCTCCAGATGTCAATTTTTTGCCTTTTCCTGTGTGGTCTTTATGCTTTTTTTTTGGTTCAGTACACACGCGGCCAAAAGGCAGACCTCACGTCTCAAATTATCCTTTTCGAGCTCTCACAGTGGCCTCGATCAGCATTCTGAGGTTCCTGTGCAAGCACTTCCCATGACGACACTCTACCCCGCCTCTGTATACACCCCCCAAAATTTAGACCGGACTATGGAGACCCCCCAGAGAAAGAGACAATTGTTTTGATAACGCGGATAGGCTGTGCATGCTTCAGTCAGGCCCAGCTGACTGCGAGCCAGGCACGTGAAGAGGATGTGTGCCCCTCAGCGTGGGAGCAGCTCCACACGGGGGTTGTCAAAACGATTATGATATCCTAAATAAAGTAAGTATTAAGCTAAAGCTACAACTTTTGTTGTTCATGAGAGACTCTTTGCCATCCCCAAACCTTAACCTCTCAACTGTGATTTCCATCCCATACCGCCTGTTCCAAGTTCAAGGAATTGTGAATCCCCAGGCATACAGGGCAGCTCAAAGTTCCATTCATCTACAGTAGTTAAGGGCAACGCGTGGAATCAATACCTGTCCCCAGACTTTTTGGCAACTAGCGTCAGTCTGTGGGAGTTCTACACTGCATGGCAACGCAGCTTGCGGGTTTGGGAAGTGACGCTGAGTACAGGCCTCTGATCAAAAAGGGCTTGTAAACATCTACACCAGATGCATGGACTTGACCAGCATCAGAAGATTGAGATCTACTACTCTCAACAGCTGCTTTCTGTAAGATTTTGGCATGCAGTTTGACCAGGCAAGAGCCCCCAAAACCAGGAGGTGCCTTCAACGCGGCCTCGGTAGAACTTAGCAGGCAGGTATGTTTCAGTTTTCCATGGTCTGCGTTGGGTTGCGCCTGGTAAGCCTTCTAGTATGTTACAATTGCATTCTTGCTCAGGCGCTCAAGAAGCTTCAGCACAACGAGGCAGGTTCCCATTAGAGGAACGTGACGCGTATTGTACGGCTCACCTAGCAACGTGTGGCAACCCTGAAAGTTTGGCACCTTGAAGGTTGTGGATGTTCTAGGTAGGTCGGCTGGGCTGAAATTCAGTAGTGCGAGGCTGATCGAGTGCGGTTGGAAGAACGGAAGCTTGGCTGCATGAAGTCATGGCAAAGCCTACGAATAAGAGCGAGATGCGTTCTCACATGGCCTCACAGAAGTTGTCACAGCATGTTTCCTGCGCTACTGTAAGTCTTCTTGAAGTACGGGGTTTGCTTCATTCTTGATGGCCTGATGATGTCCCAAGGATCGCAGCTGTGCAGCTCCAGTGGCGATCTCAGATCTCTGCTGAAGTGAGATAGCTGGCATGGTTTCACTGCACAAGCTCATTTGGAATGCGCTGAGCCAGGTGTGATGATCTCCGTGTGAACCTCAGTCAGAGCAAGGAAGAAAGTGCTGGCGACTTCAGCTTAGCAGGAGTTCGAGATGTTTCTCAAGCATGCGCTGTCAGTGTCCGATTGCTTTTTTGTACAGCCTGGCTTCATCTCAGCGTTCAGCTTTCCCAACATGGAGAGAAGCACGATGAGGACGCGTGGAGTAGCTGCTTCGGTGTAGCAGAAGCAGCTCCACTACCTGCGGAAAGACAGCACGCGCGAGTCAAGCAACTTAAAGTTGGTCTTTTGATATTGGGCTTCAAAAAATTGTGCCATTTGAGGTGAGGAGCTTCAAAACACACGTGCGCGGGCATCCACCGACCGTGCCCTGCAGCGAGAACTCCAAGACCTGGAAGCTGCCAAGCGGCATCATGTCATCATCACGCCGCATTTAGGTTTCCTTTTCAGGAATTTTCGAGAGGCATGCAAAGTAGCCACTTATCAACTCATGACGTGAGGCCCTGGTCGGATGATTTGTGTTCTGAGTTGCAAGCAGTCAGATGGGCCTAGCATGGGCAACTGCCCCCACCGAAAACAGTGGAAGCTAACTAGCTGCCCTCTGTGCCTATTGCATCACCTCCACTAATCTGCGCTCTCTGAGCGTTCATGTGAGTTGATTCTTCTTTACCGCACCTTGCTGCCTCGGCACAGGCAGAGCGTGACCGACTGCGAAGCCGGTATGGCGACAGCGAGAAGCTGCCTGAAGCCCAGCTTGTTCTTGCAGACTAACTTTTTTGCACACTTTTACAGGCATGTCTTACACTAGGTCCCGTCACTTTCTCAATATGAAAAGGTCTTCTCTCACTATGCTCCGACTCGATGCTTTGACCATCAATTCCCTCATCGCAGCCAAAGCGTAATGAGCAGGCCTCAAAATCCCTCCAACCCCAAGCTCACCGAGCATCCCCGAGCCATAAATCCTAAAGCCGGAAACCAGAAAAGGGTGCGGAAGCCAGAAATGCCAGGATTAAGGAAACCGGAAACTCAAAGCCCAGGGATCCGGATTCCCAGCAATGCAGCCCTCAAACCCTGATGCCCCACAGTGACAGTCTGTTGAGGCGGGTGGATGCAGCTGAAGCCCGGGACAACCTCAGAGAAGAGCTGCGGCAGCTTGAGGATTAGCTGCGGAACATGTGTCCGAGGTAGTGGAATGGATAGCAGTGATGTGAGCATGAGACCTCACGGTTCAGAGTCTGAAGTAGCTTGCTTGTCACGTGCAACTCTCTCGTGACACTGTCATGACCGGGCAAAGGCAGCACGGGGTTTCCGAGACTTCACAAGCTTACCCAGTAATGTCATTGAAGTGCCAACAGTCTGCCTGCCTAATCTTATGCTTTCCTCAAATTCAGCATGACATCAGCTGCAACCGCTGCTGCTTCTGCTGCTGATGCTGGTGTGGGTGTTGGCGTCGACGGCAGCAGGGTGGCGGTGGTGATTTGCGGTAGCAGAGGCAGCTCCCAGCCTGTGCAGGATAGCCTGGCGAAGGAGAGGCAGCGAGCCGCCAAAGCCCAGGAGCTCAGTACTTCAAAGCGCTATGGGCCTCTTCGCCCTCTTCTCCTGTGCTTCGCAAATTGTTCCTCAGATTCTTCGCTGTGAGGCTGAGCGGCGGGCTGAGGAGATGGGTCTCCGCCTCCAGGCCTTTTCCGAGGGCCGAAGAGCACTAACAACTGCAGGTGGGTTCTGTCATGTTCAGTTCAAAGTGTCTCACAGCCAGGAACATGAAGCGCCGAAGCCTTGGCTTTTCTTAGCTGCTTTTGGATTTCGTGGATTTGAGGTTGTTCGATGTGAAGCTGTGAAGCTGTCATGTCATGTCCATTAAAAAGATTTACCAAGCACAGTTTTGAACTCCGCGCGCATCCCGCTCAGGGCTCGTCAGCACCTGCGCCCCGCAGGCAGTTAGACACCCTTGAAACTCCAAGCAGTGCAGATAGCCTTTGCAGATAGGCACGGAAGTCGGGATAAAAAGATTTTGGTCTCAAGCACTCGTTGTACAGAAAAAAGCTGCAGAGATTCTGCCGCCTTCAACTGAAGCCCACTCTGCAAAGGTACATGTGTAGAACAATGACAGCAGTTGCAGCTCCTGACTTCAGAGCAAGAGCTTCGTTAAAAAGCCAACCTGTTGAAAGAGTGAGGCCATAAAGAGGCAGAACAGAAAACAGATTCCGCGCAAGCAGAACCTTCACACCAGCATCTGCAGAGAAAGCACATCAAAACAGATCAGGCCAAGTTCAAGCCATGTGCTGGCATCTGCAAAGCGAGGCAGCCGCATGCAACATGGAAACATGTTCAACATGTTCAATCAAGCAGCTAGAGCTGTTTACATTCAGCTAGACATTGAGTAGAGCTGTTCAGGATGGTGGCGCCACGCAGACGCCTCTGGGTTCTGCGATCTGACAAGCAACATGGCCAGGCACTTAGATAACAAACTTCTCTGGGTTGCTGTTAAGGAATTTAACTTAAGTTACTATATTGGGGATGCCATACTGATTACTATATATACCCATTATGGTGACTTAATTTATGTTCCTTAACAGCGACCCAGTTTTCTGTTGGCAAGTTGGGGATGAAGCAGTGCTTGGATGAGGTGTTTGCCAGACTTACGCTGCCATGTGCTTTGATGTTCGGACGGGTGACCTGGGGCATCATGGACCCCGACGAACAGGATCTTGGCAGTCCATGCGCGTTGTTTTGCATCGGGTGCAACGCAAGACATAAGTAACTGCTCGTCTGAGAGGAGAAGAGGTTGGCGTGGAAATACCTGGACTGCTCGAACCTGGTCGGCGAGCGTGTGCAACTCAGACCTGGATTCGTGCGTAAGGGGCAGGTCAGGTGTCAGACTTCAGAATTCATGGCGTTGCGTTGCCTGTTTTTGCCAACTCCAGGATGCCACAAGTGCAGGCTTTTAATTGAAGTCCATGTCTCTGTGTGCGAAGCTAAGCAGCTAAGACGACCGCCGTGTGGACTGGCCATGGTTTCGCCAGCAGCTGCTTCAGACCCCGTACCGATGCCTTACATGCCTTGTGTTCAGCGAGGGTGAGACAGATTTCGGCGCTTCCCTGTTGTGTGCGCAAGCCTCCCTTTCGCAGATGTTGGCAGGTACCCCGCCAACATGGAAGCGGTGTTCACTGTTTTGAACAATCTTGGCACTGCCAGCTCCAATCATTACGATGAGGAGGCAGACAGCCAGCACAGCTGCAGAGACAAAGGGCCGCCGGATTGTGAAGTTAAGGGATTCACGTTGCGGGTTGGATTCCAAGAGCAGGCTTTTTTGGGAATGCATTCGGTTAAGGGACCTGTACCAGAGTCCGAAGCTTCACAGGCGCGCGTGTGCCTCATGGGCGTGCCTGCGGTCAGGGACGCAGAGCTGCATGATTGGGTCACAAGAGCTTGTTGCGATTTCATCATTATTACTTTGCAGCTGCATTGAAGGGCAAGTCTGATTGTGCGCGCCGGGCGGGCCAGTGAAGGTGTCTCGAGTAAGAATGACTGATAGATTTTTGTCTTGTGTGATCAAACACGTTTTGCAACCCACAAGGCTTTTTTTTACCTCACCCGCTTCACGCTGGACACGCCTTGCCCTTGGCACGAAGCAGCAGCCGTACGGGAAAGCCTTTGCGAAGGGCATCCATTCCGGATTTCATGGTGTGACTAGTGATGGCTAGTGCCAGAGATCCTCTACCCTGAAAAGACTCGCACTGTAGGATGGAGCGGGACGAGCATGGCCGTGCCGTGGATGCAGAGACCGTCAAGAAGGCGGGCAGGAACAAGAGCGAAAGACACGCATGAGCAATGGACCGCTGGTTTTTATTGTCATCCTGGGGAATTTAGTCTTCTCAGTTCAAGTGGCTAGTGGCAGTCTTGATTGCAGAGTTTGTGGGAGCTTTGAGAATTTCTGAGAAGTCGGCTCCTGATTGTCATAGCCTGCTCTTTGATCTCTTCACAAGGAGCAAGGATGACCTCGCTTTTCCTAAATTCTGGGTGACTGGAAATTAGAACCTACCAGGCTCTGCTACCCCAGTACTGGACCTTATGCATCGTGGCAGACAATGAGCTCTCAGTCTTAGTCAACACCCTCAGCTTCCGACAGCATGCTGTTGCTAAGCAGAGCAACGCCTCCTGAGAGGCGACACTGCAGTACTCGGTTTTTGAGAACTATATCTCAGCGCTCCATCCAGGCTGGACTGGATTCTCTGCATCAAAAGCATTGGCATTGCCCTCGCCATGAGTAGCCGGTAGCGATAGCGCAAGTCTGTTCCCGAATCGTCACGAGCAGGATCCTGACGTTTGCCCTTGGCTCACAGAGTGGGATTCTTTGGTTTCACCCGCAGCAGATCCCAGATTCAAGCCTTCGAGTCCAGTACAAAGATGGTTGCAGAAGCTGTTTCAAACCATTGCTGAAAACTAGCGGCTTTGCCCCAGTATGATCAGACCCCCCCTGATAATCGGCGCATGTTCTCGCGTGGCAAAGCATACATTCTCCAGTATTGAAGCGTATATTTGCAACGTGTGCTCAAAGTTGCATAGTTGCCTGGCTTCGAGCCTGTGCACGCGCCGCAGCTGGCCAAGGCAGGAACATGGGTCGTAGTCACATTTTTGGTTTCACAAACTTCTGAAGCTTCAGGTTTCGCAGCTGCTGGAGAGCATGGCAGCTTGGGCCTGTAGAGTTTGGGGTCAAGGGTTTCTGATCCAGCCCAGGATTGAAGTTCCTTGTTCTGAACACAGACTGCAGACTTTTCCCATGTTTTCACCTTGATCTTGCCGTGGCAGTCCTACTCGGTATCAATGATGTCCAACCCTATACCGTGCCAACACCATTATCTCGGCTCCAATTCATGAGTCTTACAGTAAGCATAAATTCTCCCGATCTTCAACCGAATTTGGATTGCTGATCACGGTCTAAATCCTAAGGCTACGAGCTGACATGAAACAGCAGATGCTATCAGACCATTTGCCGTGATTTCCTAGTGCATGCGTCAGTTAGTTGGCACAGCTTTTGTTTTTGGGCATCCTTGCCATCGCGTTCAAGCTGAACTTTGAAGGATGTCAAGCGCGAATTGTCCCGATCATCGAAGCTGATCCGAGGTGGTCTGACAGGGATGGCTCAGCCGGAGTACGTGGAAGGGAGGCCCCGCTTCAAGACTTGAAGGAGCCTAGAAGCAAATGACTCCGCATTCTGTGCATCCTAGACACTTCTTCCTGCACCCCAACCCGGGCACAAAGTTGATTTTACTCTGTCCATCCATTATTTAACTTATTAGCCCCGCTGTGGTGACAGCAAAGCACCCCCAGCATGGCCAGCATGAAGGTGCGTGTGAAGGTTTCAGGGGCAGGGGGTTTTGATTTATCAGTAACACTTTTTTCAGACTGAAAGGGCTGACTTGGTACATGGAACTGGGAGTGACAGCAAGAGCACCATCGCAAGGCTTTGGCTTGTGATGCATTTGAGCCATCGACCCTCAAAACCATTTGAAAAGAACATTGTTGTCAAAATCTCCAGGCCTAGAAGCTCCTCGACACAACATTTCCATACATTTCCGAGCCTCGCAGAACACTACATATGAAAACCTGGAAGCGCCTGAACCCTTGATCCCCCAAGCCAAACAAGATTTTGGAACTCAATGCTTGATCGCGGATGGTAGTTCGATGTAATTCCCCATTCAGCTTGCCAAAACGCCGCTTGTGAGATCTCACACGACAGCTGCTTCAAAGAAGGCATTCAGCCATGCTACTGGAATCCAGATACTCGCAGCAGACCAAGAATGCGTGAGCAGGCTACTGGATGGCTTCTTGCTTCTGGCAGCCGGCGGTTCTGGGCAGCCTGAGGGAGCTGAGACCTCAGGGGTGGAGGGGTGGCATGCTTTGAGATACTGGGGCCACTGGGGTATAGAGTGAAGGATTTAGGTTGCCTCCTCAGCGCAAAGTTGAGACCTTGCAGGGTTGCATTTGCAACCCAGAGCTTCAGCTCAGTTTGGGTTCACACATGTCCAGCAGAACGACAGGCTTACATAGCTCTATTTAAGGTGAGGATGCAGCAGAAGCAGTAGCAGCTGGTAGCGGTAGCCGTGCTTTGGTAGTACCTTTCAAATTCGGCTACTGCTGCCACTGCTACTGCCACCTACCTACTGCTACTGCTACTGCTACTACTACTGCTACTGCTACTGCTGCTGCTACGACGACGACGGCGGTGACGACGGCAGTGGTATTATAGCAGGTTGTTGTGTTACAGCTGAGATTGTGTCAAGACTGGCCTTTCTCTCCGGTATTGCTTTGTCTCTCGGGGCGCCGCGGGTCAGCATCCTCACAGCCTTTGTGGCGATGTATTGACTTTCCAGGTGATCACCGTGAACCTTTCCTCGCTGCAGATTGTGGATATAGCAGAGGAGGCGATGTTTGAACCCGACAGCTTTCCACAGCTTTCTACGTTGAACGTCGAAAGGGTGTAGTGTAGGTGCCCAACCAGTTTGCGGAAGCCTCTCCCAGTCCCATTCCTCACGGAAGGACCTCACCTTCTTCTCAAACCTGGACCGCGTTGACCTCAGCGACAACCAGCTGGGCCAGGCGCTGAGGAAAGCCTCAAGTGGAGCGTGATAGGACATCCAAGCCTTTCACTTCAAGCCTTGGGGGAGTGGTGGACTGACAAATTGCTCTTGCGCCACATGAATGAGTGCGGGGGATTTGCAACGGTTGCGTGAAGGGAGGCTTGCGCAGGCGCTTTCAGGCCTGAAATAAGTCCCAGCGCGCCTATCCCATCCATCCTGCAGCAGGGTTCATAGACTCGGAGACTGTGCAGAAGTCCAAACCTCGGGTTGGCTCAAGACCCTCACTTGTAATTAGAGCTCCACGATGCTTTGCGGAGCAGGCAAGATGCCAGCGTAAGCGTGAAGCGTAAGATGAATCCGGCTATTCCAAAACTAGCCTGTAACTCCCTGCGGTCCTCTGCTCTTGAACCCTCTAGCCCTCTCAGGGTGTTGACTAAGGCTACGAACATCTCTTCGAGCAGATCACAAGGCTCCCAAGATTAGGGACGCTGAATTTGGCCTGCAACTCCATCAGCACCCTCCAGGCCGGTCTTTGGGCTTTGGGTCTAGGTTGAGCGGTGGATCCAAGGCTGCTTTTTTGGTGGCTTTGGCTGGGGGCGTTGGGCCTTGGGGTAATCTCAATGATGGCTAGCGGCACTTTCCGATACAGATAGAGGAGTCAACCTGAACGAGAACATATCAACAGTAATCATTCCAGAAGCCCCAGTGTCAATGTAGGAGTTTCTTCAAATTGGAGATCCCGTTTTGCGCTTTGGGTCCTAGCTATCAGTTTGTAATCTCGAGGTTCACGGCAATAGTGATGACCGTCCCAGCTGGTAGAAAAAACTTGGTCGTTCATTATGCAAAGCGGCTGGTTTTGGACGAAGCCTGCTTCCGATTCTTTCAAGTCAAAACCCAGGACACGTTGTTTAAATACCTTGGCATGACTTTTATTGAAGCCTTTGATGCAAAGAAGATCTCAGTCAGGTGGGGAATGGCATCCTGCAGAGCTTGGAGGCCTGGGCAGTCATGGTCTAGAAGCCCATTTCTTTGCATGAAGGGTCCGCCACACGGGAGGTCTTGTTTTTGTTGCGGTTTGCAGCTGTTTAGTGGATTTTCATGCAACAACATCATGCGCATGGTATGCTGCAGGTAGCTTGCATGGCCAGGGTTCGCAGACATGGAATCCGGAAGTTGTGTTTGTGCACACATGAGTGCATGGCCTATTCAGAAATTCGCCAAATGGCAGGTGCCCTGATTTGTGGCACCATTGGCCCATTGACAGTTGTCGTTGTGTTAGTTCTCCTGAAGCATCAAAGGTAACGAGAGCAACAGTCACGATAGCAGATCTAAAGCATTGTAAAGCCACTCATAAGAAACATAATTTGCTCGTAAGATTCACGATACTCACCCCCTGTCCTCTGAGCAAGTGTCTTCGTGTGAGCAGTGTGTGAGCATTTCTGAGGGTCCCAAGGCCGGCTCCGAAAAATGCCCGAACTTAATATCAGAGCCACGAAGCACCCAACGCAGGTCCTGGACCTATCCTTCAATGGCCTGCATGGTGACGTGCTTGGCCAGCTGGCCAGGTCAGCGATCCTTTTTGGGCAATGTTTTGAAAAATAAGATGTCTGGCTCCCCCTGATTTTCATCCTGCTGCTGAGGCTCCTGCCTCAGTGAGGGTTACGACTTTTTTCGTGTGGCATTCTAAAGCATGGTTTCCTTGTCTTCATTTTGACATGTCTCGTCCTCGTAGAGCCGCTTGGATTCAAGCCCCAATCCCTCCGGTGATTCGATGACCATCTGGAATCTCTAGAAAAATGATTCTTCTGATTTCTGGGACAGGCTGCCAAGCTTAGTGTGGCTGAACCTGGCCTCCAACTGCATCTCGTCTCTTCCTCCGGAAGCAGAGCTGGTGGGGCTGCAGGTGCCTATCCAATAGCATTTGGGGATTTTCAGTGGGGACCTTGAACCGTTGGGGCTGTGAAGAGCAAGCCCGTCTAGGAGCTCAGACATTCTGGCTGTTGCAAGTTTTCAGTTGGTTACCCGTTCTGGCACAGCAAATCTGACACCCAAATCCTTGGGGGCAGTATTGAGGAGGCTTGTCGCTTGAAGAGGCCATCATCGTCAGTGCATCAGCAGTAATGCACTCTTCCGAAAAATGTAAGAACTATTGTGATAACGACAGGTGTCGTGGCAATCGTACCGACTCTGCCATATGCAGGCTCTAGAAGAGCTCATTCTCGACTCCAATGACCTTGTGCAGTTCATGCAGTGGAGCCTTGGCTGGCAAAGTCCATTACGAAGAGGCAACTGATTTGAAACGATTTCCTACTGGTGAATTCAAACGCTTCGTGGTTCTTACCGAGGAACTTGCTCTAGCGGGGGTGTGCAGAGGTAGGCCCACTGACATGCTAGTTGCTAGCCTTCAAGATGAGTACTGCTGGGATTTGCCGAGGCGATCGCTGGACGCCGTTCCACACCTGCGCAAGCTGTCCTTGATGTCGAACCGGGTGAAGCGCTTGAAGGAATTTCAGGGGGCCTCGAGCTTTTTTGTCGGGAAATAAGTTGCAGGACCTTCCTGTAGCTGCGCCAATCCAAAGTCAAGAGGACGATGCGCCGGATACCGCCAGCGGGACGACGTTGTGCTACTTCCCTCGCCTGGAGGAGCTGAAGCCTCAGCAGAGTGATGTTGGTATTCAGGGTTTCGATGGGATTTGGGTGTGACAGTTTATGCCAAGCTAGGGACGATGCGAAGTGGTTGGAGGAGATGTACTATTCATCCTTACAAAAGCTCTGCAGTCAGTGCAAGGTCAGCAGTTTGCGTACAGCCGCCGAGGCTAGACTTGTCCTCAAACGAGATCACGGGCCAGGGGCCCAGCGGTTAATGGACTGGGTTCTCCTTCAACTTCAACCCCCATGACTGTCGGCGCGTCGCATAGATTCCGGATGGTTAGCAACCACTCACATTTAGGATCATCCAGGTCTGTCTGGGGTCGGTCGGGAGACGTGGTCGCATGCGAGAAGCTTCTGGGATTTCTCGGGTCTCGTCAAGCCTGCTCAAAAATGGCTTAAAAACCAGCAGCACTTTACGAAATGATGCCAGAAACCAAGAAGCTCAGACCCCGGCTTTCAGCTCTGTAAACAGCCCAGGCGTGTCCAGTTTGCCTGTCATACAGCTCTTTCAGAACTTGTGCGATTCTCAGCCAGAGCCGCAGACGGGAACTGCAATGCTACTTTGCGCCGACTCAGGAGAGTCCTCCGCCTCACCGACAACCCATGCACGCGTGGAGGGAACACAGCCGTTCCTTCCATTCCGCACGTTGCAGTTGTTTGCGAGGACTGTGCTAATTGAGCTTCCTCTTTCATGACTGCACCCACTACATTGCATGGATCTTAAGCAGGACATCAAGCCTTTCTACATGAAGGGCAATGGTTGCTTTGCGAAGGCCTTCCTTTCACAGCGCTGCCTTCAAACTAGTGGTGCTAGGATACATGTCGCATGTGAGGCCGAGAAAATCCCGGGCATGAAGCTGAAAATGGACAGTTCTGTTCTCATTTGTTCTGACAGTGTTTACCATCGGTTTGACAGAGGGAAGAGTCTTTCACAAGGATGCCTAACTGCAGGCCGCAAAATGAAAAAAGTGCGTGACGTCCGCACCTGCGGGGTCTTCAGCCGCCCGAGAAGCATGCCCTGGACTTGGCGCCGTGTAGTGAACTCCCAGGTGTGATGCCTGCTGCCTATGATCGCTTGCTTCCAGGTCTCAGCTAGGTGAACTCGATGAAGAGGCGAACGCCCTGGTCGTGCAGTTATCAGGTGCGCTCTTACAGTCTAGTGCAGGTGCATGCAGGTACATCATATCTTTGCTCAGTCTAGTGAAATCTCGCATGCCCGGGTGATGTCAGGCACTATCAGCATGAACGTTGGGAGCTCAGTCTGCAGCAGTAACGGGGCAGGCTGGGAACGTGCGTGACTGCCTCCTGAGCACACCTCTTGCATGGGTGGCTTCCGTGAAAGTTTGTGTATATTACCGTCATTCCGGGTTGTGAAAATTGCCAGCGAGGCACGTGCCGCATCTGCCCCGGCAAAAGCTGCGCCGCTGCCAGCAGCGGAGGGCATGGGCAGCTGGTCTTTCATCGGGGAGAGGTTTTTGAGGAATCTAGTTCGGAAGATCACCAGACTATTTCGAGGTGGAACTTTGACGCAGTTCGAAGGCGTGCAGTTTGCCATAGTAATGACATTTGAACATGGTGTCAGAACTGCGTAGGACCTTGTCTGCCATCGGATGTCTACCCATTTGAGAAATGCAGAACCCAGACCTGGCCCAGGCATCTCGGACGGCTGCCCAGCGGCAAAAAGTCTAAATCAGCCAGTTCTACTGCCTCCTTCGTCTTCCAGATGGGGGCGGTGCCTCAAAAGGTATGAAGCCCCAAGCTGCATGGATTTCATTGGCAACCCACGGATGCAGAAGGCCAATCAAAACGCCAAAAATCCAAACTAGGATGACTCATCTACAAGTCGCATGGCTCAGGTATCCTGAGTGATGACCTCACGGAGGAAGAGCTGGATCAAATCTTCAGGGAGCGCAAGCAGACCATCGAAAACAGGCCTCTACATTACACATTTCAGGCTGTGAAGAGGTTATTCCAGCAATCTAGGTCAGAAGTTCTGCTGGCTCGGAAGACTTTCATCATCTGGCAGACCTTGTGGTTCAAGAGTTGCCAGAATCCAGCAACAGTTGCAGCGTGGTGGTTCGGGTTGCCGGTAACGTTCGTGGAGGTTTGAGGAGCCCGTGGAGGAGCCCTCTTCCTTCATGAAGGAACCCGAAGATGCCGCGACCAAGGCCGGTGCATGTTGCTTCAGACTTGTAAAGCCTTTTTGTGGCTTTCACAACTGAGGCTTGAGAGGTTCATATGCACGTGAAGCAACAGTTCCGATTGATTGAGCTCATGCAGAGAGAAAAAAATTAGGATCCTTCAAGGGCTCGTGGTTCTAGAGCAAGGCTCGCTCCTTCAGCCAGAACCTTGCAGGAGAAGCTGGCGCAGCTTATGAAGCAGATGAGGCAACAGGAAGAGGAGCAGTACAGGTCTCAGATCTCGCACGCCTCTCCCACCAACGCCGAATTCTTGCCAAGAGCAAAGAAGCCCAAATGAGAAACCTCTTCACAAGAGGCCTGCGTTCAGTGGTTCTGGCCGCCCAGGTCCGGTGTGAGCCAAACTCCGAAGGTGCACCCGGGCTTAGCTTCAAGGGCGCAACCCATGTCAATCCGTTTCTTGAACGCATCAGCCAGTCCTTGCAGCAAAGTTGTGAACGAAGCCAGGAGAAGCCGTCGGGTCTCTTCCTCACCGGCCTGGGGGAGGACTTTGTGGCAAATGGGTTTGGCACAGTGTATTTTGGGGCTCGGGGTCGCTCCCAATTCAGAAGCAGGCGCATGTTCCGATGAGCAATTCACTGCTTCCAGCCCAGCTGTGTCCCACTATACCGGAAGACCCACCTGCGACCGACGTTAAGCTGTGTTGGAGGATGCACCAGAGCCAGTTCGGCAGCCACGGCGCAAGCTGAACACCTGGTGTTTTGCAACGTAAGCATGGGAACCTGGGAACCTAAAGATGGTGGGCTACAAGCAGGCCTGATGTTAAGGGGCTTGCTAGGGACGGCAAAGGACAAGGACGGGGTTGCGCATGGCTTGTCAAGAGCAGCTTCGCATAGCTCCGCCATACAGTGGCTTGCACCTAAGGGCAAAGCCCGCCAAAGAGTCGGAGAAGGCCAGGCATCTTCGTTACAGGAGACTGAAGGTTCAAGGTTTTAAGCTTCGGAGATTGAACCCCAGATGGAGGGTGCTCATTGTGAGATGCTGCATCACGTGACTCAAGTGCGCATGATGGCTGCAGGCCCCTTCGGCATTCCAGGCGAGCCTGGGATTGGGAAGGATTGGGAAGGAGTGTCCAGCTTCTCCAAAGAGGGGAGATGTGTGATGCCTTTCTGCCAGATTTTGGCCCCAAACTAAACCGAAAGCTGGAAGCGCGCTTCAAATTCTGAGTCCCAACCCTTGATGCTGGCAAAAAGCTAGCAGAGGCCTTCCTGGCGGATCGCCACGCGCACCTGCCACCCCTGGCTCCAGGCGCAAGTCTGTCGCAATTCTAACTGAGATGATGTGCTTGCTATCGTGATTATCATTCTTCCTATTTCTAATTCAACTGCTACAAGTAGGGCAGGGGCTGCCTCCGCGCGGGCTGGCACAGAAGCACCTGTTGCGGAAGCAACACAGAAGCGGCACTTCGGAGTATCCTTTTCGAACTTTCACTTCCAATAGCTGGCCTTGGCAGAGTCTCCTCTCTTTTTGTTCGAAGTCTGTGATGCCCCGATCAATCTCACGGAGAAACAGCAGGATATGTCCAAAGACATCAAGCATGCAGGTATGACGGTAGGACTATCGCCTTAAGCGTGTCAAGTATTGATTTTCTTCGCCCGCTGTGCGTTTGTAGTGCCAACTCTGCCAGGAGGGCTCCCAGAGCTCTCGAGCCCTCTACCCTCTCCGGTCTGGGACTCAGAAGATGGGTGCCTTGATGTAAGGGTTTGACTTGCTAGGCATTCCCAACATGGTGCCAGTCCCGATTTGGCCTTTACATATTGTTGCAGCAATGGTTGCACATGTCATATATCTTTGAAAACTTGCCGGAGGTTGTTGCAGACTTGCGTTTGGGTTTGCAGGTGCGGTGTTGACGTGAATGAAGTCGCATAGAGGGACTAACACGACTTCTTTCCTTGTTTTGCAGAATCCAGCTGCCACCACCACAATTAGCTCTGCATGAGCCCTTAGCCGCCTCTAGTTTTTGGCCTTGGCCTCATTGCTTGGCGTTGATATTGGCAGCTTGCAGGAGCTACCCAAAGCAGACTCTCTTGTGAGCTGCATCTCAGGCATATGTAGTAGGATGATTTGATGAATGAGGAAGCGTAATGGAGTCCAAATCTGTGTGTGTCACAACGCACGCAATGGCTCATGTGGACCAAGCCATCCACTGACTCCGCGGGAGATGTCTTGAAAGGCATGCATCGGCGGTAAACACCCTTAAAAGAACCTCCAAAGCTTGCAGATCTGCGCAGGCATGCGCACAAAAGCACATCGTAGGTACGTATGTATGTTTTCTACAACTATGCTGTTGCAAATGCCTCTGTGCTGCTGCTCAAATCCTCCAGGTGCCCGGATCAGGTCCTTTACCGGATCTTCGTGGTGAAGCTTAACTGCACTAGGGTTTTGACAGGCATGAACAGGGGCATATGGTCATTGTCAGGCCATGCCAAGGCTATGATAGACGGTAACAGGCAGTTGATTTTTTTGCGATTTTGAAAGATAGATCCTCTAAGAAATCAGCTTAAATATCTATGACGTGCCAGCACGTATGAGACGTGTGAGGTCAAGAAGGCCCCGGTGGATGCCTCGGTCCGGGAAGCTCTCCGCGCTCTTCGCGCGGCCTCGCTATCCGAGCCCCTACGACGGCAAGCAGCAGGCTCTCAGGCTCTTGCCACGGTGAGCTCACATCCGGCTTTGCAAAGTCCCATTTTTCAGTGAGGTGCCTTTTGTCAGTTTTGTTTGTAGCCTCTCGTGACAAGACTGAGACGTCTGTGTTCATGCAGTACTTTGCCCGCTTCTTGTTCCGACAACAAAACAGCATGGCCAGTGGCAGCTCAGGTTTGCTGTGGCGGCATAGACATGGAGCATGCGATAACGTTGTTTCACAGACTGTACAGCCTTGCATGCTGCTGACAACATTGCTGCGGCAAGTCTGCCAAAAGATGTAGGAATTTCTTGCCAAGCAAACCTAGTCTCACCCCCAGTGATTGCGCTTCACTGTGTTAAATGCTGATGCCTGATCCAACCACCCCTTTTGCAGGCCTGATCAACGCAGGCAATTGGTCTTTCGACGACCAGCAGGCATCCCTGGCCAAGTGGAACCAGCGCTGGTCGTGTTCAGTGGAGCATTCAGCTCCTCCATTCATGCCACATCGCTAGGCACGCTGCAGTCCGTGCCAGGTCTTCCTGCTAAGAAAGCAGGTCCTTCGAGCTTATCGAGAGCTGGAGGCACAACATATGCTGCGCAACAGCTATATCATTATCTAGGTGGTCGTCGCTCTCACCGGTGCCGCAGCTCCATCAAGCCAGTCCACACCTGATAGCAGGATAAGGCAAAGAGCCAAAACCAAAAGAGATGAAAAAAGACTACGCGAGCTTCCAGCCACCTGCAAGGCGAGGGCCTTTCTGGAAGATCCGGAGGCCTCTCCTCCACCCTTCAAGGCAGGGGTTGTGCCAGTAGCCCGAGACTGGGTTCCCATGTTAGGTGCGTGGCCAACATCAAGTTAATGTTTCAGCACAAAACCCTCAAAGCGGTCTGCAGCGAGGTCTACGTCTATGACGAGGCTGGGAAAGGGGCAGCAGATCCCAGAGCCCGATGACGAAGCCTCAACGTGCCAGCTGTATGCCACAACCCTTTAGAGAAGAGTACATTCACGACCAGCATCTTGATGGTCAACGCTCATGATGGCGATTCTCAAGATTGCTATCTGCATGAATATTCTTGTTATTCCGCTCTTTTCTCTTCAGATGTGGTGGGCAAGGAGCAAGTGCCACAGCTCAAGCCGCTGCTGCAGAGCCAGATCTATTGCAGCCGAGGTGGACAGCAGTTTAGCAAGATGTATCCACACTCCTCCTGGGGCTTGTTTCCTGAGCTGTTTGAACATGGAGGACAGTGGGGAACCGATGTCCAGCTGCACGACTTCTTTGTTACGTCGAACATCCAGACAGATGACCCAGCTGAGGAGAGAGGGTACAGTGTGTCCAACCTGCGAGAGCTGTGAAATCTGGAATGATAAATATGTGACCATCTCCCACAAGCTCAGCCGGAATGTTGTTTCCTGTTTCCCTTGATAAGCTCCTGCTGTTCACACCTGCATGAGGCTGACTTTTTCTTTGTTCCTGGCTACGCCATCTGCGTGCTGGAAGGTGGTGTGAAGCAGCTTCTTCCAGTTGCAAATGAAAGCTAAAGTCAGGGATGGAAGTGTGCTTAGATGCACCATGCTGCAGGTAGCTGACCAAGCCCCTTGTGAGCACGCCTCAAGACTCCAACAGCATACAGCTCGGCAGGTAATATCTACAGTCTAGATGAGGTCGATGAGCTTTACAAGGACTGGATGATTCTCATTGAGGCTGATTGTGTCACTTTTGAGATGGGTTGTGTGGCTTATCTGAGAGGATGTACAAAACTGCTTGGCATTGGTTGAAGTCCGGCACCTGTTCTATTGCCAGCCATGTCAGAGCGGCCAGGAGCTTGTGGGGGCTTTGCCGTACTTCAATGCCTCAGGCACCACCGCCACTGCAGTGTCCTTGCTGTGGAGCGTGGTGAACCGAAAGATTGCGGCATCGAACCCGCTATGCGAACCCGATGTCCTAAGTCCCACTGCCATTCGCTGCCATGTAGATGGGAGCTACGAGTGCCAGACCTGCAGAAATATGCAGGTGGCCGCGACCACATCTTTGTCTTTGGCTCCGGCATGGCTCAGACCCTCCGTCAAGACTACTGCTTCAGGATTCAGACAACGAAGTACCCCTGAGCCCTCCTCTTCCTTTTTTATCACCCGATGTTGGTGCACACTGATTTTCTGGGCCTGTATCCGCCCTTACCCAAAGAATCATCCTTCGGCTGGTCGAACTTCAGCTCTTGTGCCTTTATGCAATGCCTGGAAGTCAGTTTGTAGGGTCCTACAGTGAGAACCTGAGCAGTGTGGTGTGTTCGAGTGCAGCAGTCGCAGTGTTACGAAGAAACATTTTGTGATATTTTGTTTCTGGTCGCCGAGAGGTTGTTGGGAGGTTGTTTTCTTTCGGCGCCTCTCTTCTTGGAAACCCTTGCTTGTTTGATTGGCTTGTTGCGGAGAAAACGTCCGCTAGTTGAGCGCGGTGTGGAGAGCAGCTGCCATGATGCGTTGAAGATCAATATTTGCCGTCCTGCGTGTCGGTGGCCTGGGGTCGAAACGAGTTGGATGGCTCGCGCCATCTCAGCAGATGGAGGCTCTTCAGGTGATTGGCCACAGGGCAATGGCACCACTTGCAATCCCTGAGCAGTGTGTTCGAGTGCAGCAGTCGCAGTGTTACGAAGAATCCTTTTGTGATATTTTGGTGGCTGTCTGGCGAGAGGTTGTTGGGAAGTTGTTTTTCTTTCTGCGCATCTCTTCTTTGAAGCCCTTGCCTGCTTGCTTGTCAGTACCATTTTTTTTTTGGATTCTCTCAAAGCTCAGGAGCGTGTTCCAGTCCTGGGAGGAGTACATTCCGCAGGCATCCGCCAAAGACTTGCATTGCTAAGTCCCAAGACCAAGCATCTTCAGACAGTTAGAGGTGTTGGCATAGCTCCAGGTGTGATGCTGCTGCATGTTATTGCTACCACAGGGATGGCAGGATGAATTTGACTTGACCTCTGCTGGCGCAGCCCGTCGCAGGCCATAGTGCTCACGCCTGAGACGGAGCTGTTCAACGACTTTGCCTGGGTTGCAATACCTCCCTACCGACCTTTCAAGGAAGGATATGATTTGTGAATGATGGGATGAAGCTGCAACCAGCAGAGTTGGAGAATGTCAGCAGCAACGGTTTACGCCTGGAATGCTTTCTAATGGGAGGCTCAGATCCTTCGAAACAAAGGGTCTGGCTTGATGCAGAGGAAATTTCAGATATCCGTTGGCAGAGGATTCGTTGGCGAGGCCTTCTTGGAACATGCACAGCTCCCTAATGTTATTTTTAAACCGGGACACATCAATCAGGACTGCCAAAGACAACGGAATGCCATCTAAACCATCTAAATCTACTAGTGACTACTAGTTGACCCGCTTTATGACTTTTTCATGCTGAAGACAAACCTTGTTGCACAGCTGTTGGCTGTTCTGCGGCTAAGTTAACGTCTTGTGCAGGACGTTGTGATTCCCGGGAGCTTGGACTTAATCGAGGCCGGAGCCCGCACACAGAGCCTCAAACGCATCCAATCTGAGGCGTGATCTTGTGCTGATGTTGGTCAACTATGAACTATGAACCCTCTGCCTAGAAGTCATTTGAAGTCCACACCGGGATTGTTGTGGGTGCCCGCTGCAAAGGTCATCAAGGCCCTCGAGAAGTCGAAGCCACTTCGTGACCGGCGCTATCTGACTGCGTTTTTTGGCCGCGCTGATATTGCCAAAGCCTCAGGTGGTGACCAGCCTCGTGCGTTCAATGTCTTTCATGACCATGATGAAGTCGAATCAATGCATGGAGTCTCTTGGCTGGAGCTCGAAACTCTACATTCCAACAGAGTACAAACCTCGAAGCGCTCAGTCTAAATGCCCGGAATAGGGGGTGCATAGCGTCCTAGACCAAAGATGCTTGAAGGCTCGTGGGCCTCATCCTTGGGTGGGTGGCGTGGATATCAGGAAGGAGATCCTTGCAGAAAGCTGGTTTGGAGAGCAGCTCGCGAAACTTTGAGGTTCTTCGCCACTGTAGCCTGTAGCTATGCAGCTGTGGGACGTACTTGGCACGTGCACTGCCAAGACGCTCGCATGAACCTCTGCCGAGTCCCTTGTCAGACTCAACTAGGATTTGGGCTTGTAGCCAGGAGCTGCTGGCCCTCCAGGAGTTACCGGGTGCCCTTGCTGGACAGGTTTTGCATGTGTGCAGCAGGCAGAAGGCTGATGCTTTAGGCGGCTGCAGATCGTGGTTTGCCGCGGTGAAGCTTCAGTGCAGTCCGCAGCACGAAACCATTCACACCTGGACCTTGCTATTTCATTCTTAAAGAATCTCTGACTGCCGATTGTCAACTCAAGTAGATATGCTACGTGCCATGAAGTGCTTCTGCGTTGCAGCTGGTCCGGCATCGAATCTTGCCTTCTTACTGCTGCATAAGCAAGACGGAGCTGACATTGCAGAAGTCGTTCATGCCACGTGCCCAGTCCTCCTGGGTTCTTTCAAGCCCTCAGCAGCATGCTACTCTAGTCTGGGCAACATGGCTTGCAGTCTTCGTCCCCCACGACCCATAAACCCCCCAAGCCCGGAACCCTATTCTTAGCCGGCGCTGCTGGCATTGCGGCCATGCTTCGGCTGCCTCGACGGGGGCGGTCTCTGCTCAGCTCAGGCATAAGCGGCACTGCGCATGACCCATCTTGGTTTTTACAGCTGTGAGTAGCTGAGACAGTCTGTCTTCAAGTCGTCTTGGGCAGAAGGCCACCTGTTACGCGGCTGCTGCTCGTCGCATGCTGCATGGCCGCAATGTGAAGAGCAGTCTCAGGCTGACCTTCCAATGCCTGCCAGGAGGCTGAGAAATTTTCTGTGTTGAGGAAATAAGAACCTTGACCTTTGAGGCATTCAAGCATAGGGTTACCTGTGTTGAGCATCTTACCTTGAGCTGCTTTCTCAGGACTCTCCCTACTTATCCAGGGACGGAGCTGCTGAGGTGGGAAAGGGACGGGGTTGCTTCGGTCTTCTGTTTATTCTGTCACACAGCCTCCATTTGACAGCAACCGTGTCTCATGCAGTTTGGCCGAGTACTAGTCAGAGAGGATTCTTTTTCTGCCCATTTTGTTGTCTAGTCTGACCGACCATGTCTGGAAACGTAGCGGGTAGGTCCTTCATGCACAGAGTGTACCCTGGGCAACTGCGCACGTCTGCTCAGCTGAGACCTTCCGGTGACCGGGAGGCATCGGTGGGATGCACTCTGGCAGTCGCTTGCGGCCTTGCGGGCCTTAGTTTTGGATCCTGGTCAGAGTCTCAGCCAGAGTGGATGCCTGATATTCTTTTCTGCCAAGCGTTTTGTGCAGAGCACGTTGAAAGAGGTACTTTCTGAGACCAGACAGGCTGGATGCCTTGCACTGCTGGCACACAGCTTTTCCCATGCCTGTAGCTGCGGGCAGGAACGGGCTGCAGCCAGCGAGAGAAAGCTTCGCGCTTGAGACTCACGTTTGCCTGTCAGAACCTCGGTGCCACTTCTTGGATCCCCTTCCGCAAACGAGGCCTGGCTCCTTTTCTCGGCTGCCGAGACTGACTGCCCAGGCCTCACAACCTGTGTTTCCGGCCAACTCAGTCGGAGAACATTGGCTGCTTACATGTACTTTTCCTTTTTCTGTTTCATCGCTGAAAATTAATTCTGACTAAGCCTGGCATGTTTGCTTCGAGATCGATGCCCGCAGGATAGCAAGTGTCAGAATTTAGGCAGCCGAACCTTTGCTGTCTGGGGCGTAGTTCACTCACAGAAGGCCCCGTTCTTGTTATGACCCCGACCTGTGACTAATGCCTTCCTGATAGTCAGTGACAGGACGGTTCCTCCATCTGGGCATGTGAAGGCCAGCAACGCAGATTTTGATTTCAGGTAGTGCTCGGACCGGCTAAGAAGAGAATGTGAAAAGCGTCCTTGAGTAGCCACAACTGCATCTCACGACCGTTCTTGTTGCAGTATTGGCTTTTCAAGTGCAGTGATCTTGCGGCTTGGGTCTGCTGAAGAGACTCGCCGATTTTGAGAGAACAATGAACAGTCAAGGCATTTCCTGGTAGGTGGCCTTTCGCAGTGGAAGCAGAAGACTCTCCACCTGCGCCTGGACCCCAGCGCAAACAAGTTGGTGTACTTGGGAGCCTGCCGGCAAGACCTGTCCAGATATAATTCCCCCCCGCGCAACTTTAACATTGGAATGGCCTGTCATGTCTGTGCAACGAAACTGCTGTGTGACAAGCCTGCTCTGGTCCAGCACCTGCCCACGCTCGGTTACTGCCAATGTTCCTCCATCAGAACTTTGTGCCTCCATAGATTTGCCAAAGATGCGGACGCAGTGGCACGAGAGCAGAGTGTTCCGTGGTCGAAGAGATTCCAAATTGCCAGCTGTGAAGTACAAACCGACTCAAGGGAAGTTTCCAGCACAAACGCGAGATGATGCATCATGGCAAACAGCGTGGTCCTCAACATTACTGGCCCCCAACAATGCCTGCCTCTGCAAGATGGTGTATTGGGCCTGCTTGCGGCGATCAAGCACTTTCGGTCATTGAAATCAGATATGATGATATCACGCCGCACTCGCGCTGGTGGCGTGCCAATTATTGGAAGCACAACTGCTGGGTTCGAGTCTGCTCAACTAGCATGTGAAGCTTTACCATGAACAGCATTCGCCGAACCTTGCGGATGCTTCTCGGGGTTTGCTTACAGAGCTTTTCAATTTGCAAAGGGCAATAGCGTGGCAGCCTCACGTTTGTTCAAGAGGCTTGGATGGTCCGGTCAGGGTACGCCTGACAGCGCGATATTATGCAACGCTTCACACGGGCAGGGGTCGGCAACAGTGTTTCCACATCAGCTCATCCGCCTGCGGGGTCCAAAAGCATGGCGCTCTCCATTCCATCTCCCAGATTCAGTTGACTTTGCTATACACTGGTCATTTTGGTTCCGAAGCCTGTGCCTTAGGTAGCACGAGTCCTGTCTTGTTTCCTGCAGCCAAGCCAAACCACACGTCAAGGGCTTTCTGTCAAGCGGTTGACATAGATAACTGCATTCAGCCCAGGCCCCATCCCAAGCGTTCAGGCTCCGCACAGTCGCCCCAAACTCCGTTAAGTATTCCTGTAGACAAGCTTCGACAGAGCGAAAGATGTCGGCATGATGTTCGTTGCGCATGCAAAGGTGAGTTTTTCATCGCTCAATGTCGGAACAACTCCTTGATTCGATCAACGCACCATATTTGTAGTTGGCGAGGCGGTGGCGCCTACTGTTTGGCCGCCTTGGACAAATTGGCAACTACTAGGCAAATCTTTCTGGGCTTTGGATGGATGGCCGCTGATGTTCCAGTTCAATTGGATTACAGTTTCAAGACCTAACCGCGAAGCAATGATGGAATGGTTGCTGCTAAATTAAATGCGCCTTACTTTGCAGTATCGCTGGCCGGTGGGCTGCTGACTCCGAGGCAGAGTGCATCTGCTAGAGATGGGTGTTTGCACCAGCCTGTCAGCAGGGATTGCAGATAAAGTACGTCGGGGACTTGAAGTGACCATGCCAAGCGGGCAGTTGCCAAGAGCAACATGCTTGACAGCTGTACATTACATTCAGATCTCTGTGGCAGGAATTCTAAATTTGTTCTCGCTCTTGTGGCTCACTTAGAATCATTCCCGCTGTTCCAGGTTTACGCTGCATTTTTCCACTCTACAGCCCATCTACAGACTCTTTCAACCTGCGCTGGACCTAGCCATCTGAATGCAGGTGATACAGCTGCAAAGCGACAGCGCTTGCTGCTCAGCACGTCATCACTCTTTACGCAGCCATGCCATTTGAACCCATGGCCGCTGCTGCGCTTGTACGTGCAAGGCCGCCTCCATCGGCGCCAAAGCAAAGTCTGAGGCATGTGAAGTATCCATCAGGTGTGTATTGGTTGGTCAAGATTCACTAGGAGTTGGGGGTAAGAACAGGTAGGACCATAAAGATACAGCGCGGGGCCTCACTTGAATCCAAGCCTTCACAGACGTCACTGACTCCTGTCAATTGCAGGTTGTTTGCCTCCGTGTCGCAGATGGCTGTCCACCAGAGGCAGTGGAGGCCTGGGCATTTGAGAATTTCCCCCACCATGGCGACCCAGAAACCTCAGAGTCCAGAAAGCATCGGCAGGGAGGCGTAGTGACAGTGGAGCTGATGCCCGGCTTCGGTTTGCTGGACCTCTACGGGCAGCCAGGCAAGATGAAGCCGAAAGGACTGTGAGCAGGATAGCTGGGACAGTCTGCATGGCAATTCCGACAGCGAGACTGGTAAACAGCCTGATAACATCCATCGCTCAATTCTTGAAGAGCGCAGGTCTGTACCACGTGCAGGACCAGTCCCTGCTTCGCTCTGTGGAAAGGGCCAAGGGTGGCAGGTGCCCCTGAGCATTCCAAACCGCACCTGGGTCTTGTGCAGCTCCTTGTGCAGGTACAGTGCCACCGACCTCTTCTCCGGTCGGAAGGATCGAGTCGCACGCGCTCTGGAGGCGTTGCTGGAGGCCTTCGCTTTGAATGCGTTTACAGAGTACTCTGTGATACTGAGCCTGCTGCAAGACATCAGTCGGGCCTGGGCACTTGGATGCGTAAATGTTTTCACCTACCGTGTCCTGGCTAGACGATACCACCAGACCTTACAAGACAAGTTGTGCCGGCATTGAGCAGCTTTCCTCATGTTATCCCTGATGTTCATCCAAAGAATGCCATACTACAGTGTTGCTGCTCGACTGTACTTCGTTTGCGTATAAGATGTGCATGAATGCTTGTGCATGCAAGGGTAGTGCTCCTGTGATGAATTATACCTGTTGTAAATGAATCTCAAAGCCTGCGACACGGATTGGATTTGTGTGGCAACTTGGGAACCTGTTCCTTTTGTGCGCAGGCTTCAGACATTGAGCAGTCCGGGCGCCTTCAGGCTTGATCCTGCGTAGAAAGATATTCCATGATATTCCATGAAGCTGCAAAGTTCTGCGAGGTGCTCGTGAATGAGGGCCGGGGCCGCTGCACTTCTCAAAGTCTGCGAAGCTTTTGTAAAGCTTCTGCGAACTGCGGCCGACATTGAGGTGTTTCTTCCCCGGCAGAAGCGGGAGAGCTCCTCCAGCTCGAAATTGCTGCAGGTGCCTCTTCTTGTCTTTCTACTGCTGCGTACTGCACTTAATCCACCAACATTCCTGAGATTTCATGGTCGCACGCAGTGATATCGTGTTCTGCGATCCCTATCATCATTGCGGTATATTGCGATATAACTGCCGCCGCGCTGAGCTTAGGGTGTTCATTAGCCTGGAATGGCTCCGATGTTCCGTCTGCCGCAGGTGCAGGGGCAGAAAGCAACATTTCACTGTTTGCATTGCTGGTCCGACGCTTAGTCGAGGCGTGTTTGTTTGGGTAGGGTGCGGTGATCCAACTGGAGGCTCAGATGCTGGACTCAAGGGGCGATGCTTTCGCTTTGCTTCCGATGATCTTGTGCCTTAGCAGCAATCCGCCTTGCGCACGTAGAACGTCATCAGCGGCTAGAGATTAGACAGCCTGATAAACTCGCAAACTCCTGGGTGCACGTCTGGTCTTTGTCGCAAGGGCAGCTAGTGATAGCCGCTGTTGGACGGATATAGGGTTAACTTTTCTGATTGTTCAGCATCATTACAAGGCGAGCGCAGTGCGCTGGAGGCTGGAGAGTCTGCTTGGCCTGCAGTTCCCCGTCACGTTGCACCTTCCGCTCTGAACACAAATGCCACGTTGAAGGCCCATCGCTATCACCAGCAGCTGCAGAACTCCGCGAGGTGCGGATAGCTGCCACACGGTTGGGGTCAGAGCCGTAGGCAGAGGGATTTGGACTCAGGGCTGCTAGAGGCTCTTGTCCAGGCATTGCTAAGTTCGAGTCAAGATGCTCAGGGATGTCCTGCACTTCTGGAGGTCCTGGGCCGGCACAGTGTCAGATGGCAAATCTCAGCAGAGGCCCGGCGGTGTCGTCGGAAAGCCGTCTCCGTTCAAGAGTGTTCCATTCGGTTGGTCCTTGCGCATCTAGCCCTTTTGCTGCCGGGTGTTCGTGTGGCACCTGTCGTTGCCCAAGCCAGGACATTGACACGTCCCTGCAGCGAGGGTCTGCAACCCAGATGTCCGTGCTCCTGACCCATCTATCGGCTGCATATGGCTGCCCACTCGCCTCTTCTATCAGTGTCAGTCAGTATTAGGATTTAGAAGAACCAACATTGAGCCGGGGGATCCTAATCAACAGGATGCAATTGTTGTGATGTTCAGGTTCTGGACCCTGCCAGCAGATCTGAGCGGACTCCATCTGCGGGAGCGAGAGGCCAGCAGAGCCTGACAGCGAGTAGTGGCGCTGAAGGTGGTGGTGCTGGTGGTGGAAGGGGTGGTGGTGTGGCAGCGGCGGCGGCGGCGACGGCGGCGAAATGATCTTTGTCAGTAATCTTCGTTGTCGTCGCTTTCATTGACATGGTAGTTATGGTCATTGTCGTCAGAAGTGGAGGAGGAGTTTGCAAGAGCATTTAATACTTGACGCCAGCCTCTTAAAGCATGACCCTCATGGCACATTTTTGCGGAATGCATGCTGTTTTCCCGAAGGCGGCAAAACTTTGCAACACATCAGCTTAGAAAGCAACACTAGCTTCTTTGCTATTGTAAGGAAAAGCCATTTCCCCCAAAGCCCTTGACAAATGGCGCAAGCATGTCAAAAAAGTACTGCTCAAGCCCTCGGCCTCAAACGGCAAGCTTGCGCTAGCGGGACGAGCCTCGTTTCACAAAAAAACATTCCTCAAGCTTGGGCTAAAGGGCACGCTGGGGGAAGCCTGATTCTCCTCGAAGTAATAGGGCGAACCCTGGAGCGATTGGGCGAGCCTTGGACAGTTAGGGCTCTGCGTGTAATTCAAGGAAACAGTCCACAAACGCCAGAACAAGAACAGGGCGGGCCTCAAATCAGCCTAAATCTGTGCTTGTGCAGATGTTGAGAATCAATCACGTGACACCTGTCTTGGTAGCAGCGGAGCAGAGGAAGAAATGCACATGGTAGGCGTCGTTGTAGTCATCGTCACGGTGATAGCGGTATTTGAAAAAATCAGGTGGAAGTAGAAGTAGACGCACGAGCAGAAGAATAGTCGAAGAAGAGTGAGGCAGGTGTGGGGAGCACTGACTGTAGAGCTTTGGGCTTGCGATGCCTGCATGGAGTCTTGACATTTGCTGATCCGATCCGCTTGTCACCGGGTTTCATTCCAAACCCCAAAGCTTCAAAATACGCATTGCCCAGCAGCATCGCATCATCTCCGAGCAAGATTGGTGCTGAAAGCCAGATGAGCAAGAGTAACACAGGCAGAGCGGTTGCTGGAGAGAGCTCGCAGAGAGCTCTGGACAGAGGGCAGCGCCTCGCTGCCTGGCTGCACGATGAAGCGGCAGCTTACAGTACCTTTTCACTTAGGCGTATCTGGGAAGGTCTTTGGGATCTTTTGGTGGGCCCTTGAGGCATCTTGAATCCATATGTTTTGGGTTTACACTTGGTGGCACCCAACATTGTGTGGGAGCCTAACATAAGGCAGCATGGCTTTAGCGGTGTACCATCAGCGAGCTTCTATGAGGCGGAAGGAGCTGGAGATGCAGATCCGCAAGTTCTTGTGCTTGCACCTGGTCGGCGTGGCCGCGTGCAGGGCGCGTTTGAGGTGGGGGCGATGCTTGTCCAGTTGTTGCTTTGGGCTGGGTGTGCGCCGTTGAATGTTGACATCGGAGTCCAAAATCGGGACAGGTTCAGCTTTGCTCGCCCTCGGGCGACTCCTGCTGCACAGGCAATTTCTTTGGTCAGCAAGCTTTCATGGCTCCAGATTCTCAGAGCTTGTGCTTGCGCATCTCTCTGAGCTTGGAATGCTTGGGCCTTTCAGTGAGGCTTGCAAGGGCTTGCAAGCATGTTCATTCGACTTGGACGGTGAGGAGATGCTTTCGGCGCACCGGTTCTCGCCACTGCCTGCAATGCCGTGCACCCAGGGTGTAGCATCTTCAGCGCTTTGACAGGCTCGAATGCCTGGCATAGCCTCACGTTGCCACGATCTTCCCAGCTAAATGGTGAGTAACATGAGCGCACTTTCCAGCACGAAACTGTTTGAGTCCAGTAGCAGTGACTTAGTAACGTCGGCTAGCGTTTCGCCGCAGCTGGACAGTGGTGGGTGATTATTGACAAAATTGGCAAATCTCATGTGCAAAATTTGCAGTATACACTTACGTCCCATGATGCCCTGACAACCGGTTGCAGTGTGCGCAGGAAGAGTTAGAATATCTGGCATGTTGTCTGCTTCTTCAATATTCTATAGGCACTGCCACACCAATCTCATGACGTTGTCAAGGCCTGGCCTATGGTGGCGCTAGAGGCTCAGATTGCATAGACAGCATGACCACTTCCACTCTTGACTTAATAGCACGTGGAGCCATATAGGCCTTTTGAAGGTAGGTGACCGGTAAGGCACGGCTCACAGGGATTTTGTTTTTCACATCTCAGACGTCAGATGCTTTGAAGCTTCCAGCTTCCAGGGCTTCACTCGGAACGAGGTTCTGTCAGGAAAGCCTCCCACTCAGCGAAGCCTCCAATATCAAACTCTCATGGGTTCCTTTGATTGCAGCCTCATGGGCCCTTGAAAGCTCCCACCATCTCCTACCCTTTCTCTCATGGAGATCCTACTTTGTTGCTTCACGTGAGGGATGCGGATTCACTGCTGTGGATCCAAGGCCTGGAGTTGGCTCCTTTGGAGCTGCCAGAGCTGTAGGCCTGCGGCACACATAGCTGCCGCAGGGGATCTGTTTGTCGTAGCTGCGTAGCTCGTGGGAACTGCAGGGGCTTGCCAGTTGCTGGTGTCCTTCCTTGCCGTTGTCGATGTCCATGAAAAAAATCTTTTGTAGGTCGTTGCGCGATGCCAGAGGCTAGCTCCGAATTCGGCACCTATGATGTTGACAGGCACCCACACATCTAAGACATGCGGGAAGCAGAGCCCAGAAAAGAAAGAGCCGCACCCAGAGCTGTGCACATTACAGGAGTGCTCAGATCGTAAGCAAATCCTGCAAGCGGAACAGCACAGGTACCGAGGACATGAAGTTCGGAGACGGAGCAACCCTGGAGGTCCAAGCTGGATGATGCAGGGTGGGGTGTTCTCAAAACGAGCTCTTGCGGAATCTGTCTGTTTGCGGGAACAGGGCCAAGGCAGGCCGATAGGTGAAAGGCAGCACCAGTGTAGAACCTGTCGTGCGCTCATGATGACTCCAGCCTTTCTTCAGCAACCGCCCCAGAGAAAGAAGCGGGGCATCAACATCTGACGCATGGAAAACTTCTTGGAAGCATGCCT